TACCTACAATGCTACGTGCCATAATTACTAAAACATTTTTTGCAGGTTTTTCTGATTTTCCGTTATCTGTATTCTCGAACCCGATTATTTCATCTTGTGAAATGTTATAAAATAAATAAGCTTTTAAACTCATTTCATCTATGCACAATATACAGTGGCGTTCCAAAGTAATGAATTTAATTTATCGGATAGAACATCAAAAATTTTATCGTTACCGGATTTAATTTGCCGGGTTTGTTTGCGTAAATAAATGTAGACTACGTATAGAAGGCAATGCGAATTGTGTCGTAAGTTCTCGATAATTTCGGACTTAAAAAATATAAATGCAATGCAAATTGTTTAAATTCTGAACTGCAGCTTCTTCCATGTTTGCTTTTAATTTACGCGTCAATTTGTACAGGTAACAATTGTGCAAAATTAGTAGGTAGTAACTTATAACCTAATTGACGCAGAGTTTCGTATTCTTTAGGTCCGTCTTCTATTGTTTTTTTATTCTTCATGTTCTTCATTTTTTTCTCTAGACGTCTAATTTTTTCACGCAGCTTTCTATTTTCTGCTTGCAATTTCAAATTTCGTGCCTTCATTTTCCTTTTTTGTGAAGTTTCTTCTACACGACTTATTAAATGCTTGCTATTAGATGTGCTTCTACACAAAATAAAAATATTATAACATTGTAGAAATACATGTATTTATATATTGTATATAATTAAAAAAAGACATAATTACACAAAAAATAGGAAAAAAAAATTACAAAACTATAAATTAATAAAATTATATTATTACATTTATATATTTCTATTTTGTTTAAAATAAATTTAGAGGAAAACAGCAAAATTATATAAAAGTGTAAAGCTATAAAAAATATTTAAATTTTTAAGAAAAATTTTAATGTGTGTTATTTTTATAAATTGATAGAAAAATAATATAATTAAAATGCGTATATGTAACTAATTCTAAATAAAAACTTACGGTACAATCCGGTACGGTTTAACAATCTCGGATGTTTCGGCGGTCTCAACATTTATATTCATAGGATCAATTGCTTTTGACAACTGCATATCGCTGAAATATATTACATATATTTTTAATAGAATACATCTGCCCTGGTAAAAAATAAAATATGTATTTTGCAATAAAAAATAGATGGTCTCA